GTCAACTATTGTATCTGGAGTCTCTCTGATTTCATCAGTCCTGCTTGGTTTACCTGGAGAGGGATATGCTGTGGTGAAACAAGGCCTCCTAGCAGGGAGAGTTCCTGGACTTTCTGAACCAGATGAAGAAGGTTAGTTTCATAATCCCACACTTCATAAGCTGCAGTAAGCTTATTGGCATATTCATGAGTGATGTTGGAAAACTTGGACAACTAGTAGACTCTTACCAAATCAAATAGAATTATTAACAACCTCAAAATAGCAACAAAAGATTGTGTCTAGGCTGGAAAATTGCAGACATAGACTACATTCAGATAATGAAAGAACACAGAGCCAACGTGTATATAACTGAAATTCTTCGCTTCTTTTTCGTCTGTGCTTTTTCTTTTTCCAAGTAAATGTTCATCTTAACAAGAACAAAATTGCTCAGGCAGGTTGGAGGACATACAGAAGACCGGATGACAAGTCAGGTGGACATGGTGTTGGATGGAGTCCTATCATTCCTTATGCTTTTTCAGTGCCTGATAATTGGGAAGAGGTAAGAATCCAGTTATTCACAACTGTATGTATTTTAATATTCAACAATGTCAGAGAAATTACCTTTCAGCTTGATGTCAATTTGCTTTGCACAATTGGACATACCTTAGTCAGGTTCACTTTTGAAGTTTTCACCTATTGAACAGGTCCCTGTGTCAATTGCTGATCTAGGTGGTACAGAGATTGATTTGAGGTTTGCGAACCCCAAAGAAGGGCGTATCTCTGTAGTTGTGGCTCCTGTTAAAAGATTTTCAGATGGTGAGCATCTCATGTTTTTTCTTCCTTCTATTCTAGTACTGAAACTAAGAGAACTAAAAGAGATTAGGTGGACATAGGGATGAAAGTGTAAAAAACACACTGGCAAATAAATATATCAACTCAATTTGTATCTGACGGATTCAATCTTGGTGGTATTCTAACTCCAAATATGACCCAGAAATTGGTGAAGAAGCCACCATAGAACAAATTGGACCTCCAGATAAAGTGATCAGCGCTTTTGGGCCTGAAGTCATTGGAGAGAGTGTGGAAGGTAAAGTCTTAAGAGCTGAAGTAGCAGAGCATTCAGGAAGAAAATATTACCAGTTCGAATTAGAGCCACCCCACGTATTGATCACAGCAACAGCCGCCGGAAATCGCCTATACTTGTTCAATGTCACTGGAAATGGTAAAAATTCAAATCCACGCTTTCTATCTTCGGAATATCTGCTATATAGTAGTAAAATCCTAAAACTCGCTGTGATTTCACAGGTCTTCAATGGAAAAAGTATTACAAAGATTTGAGAAAGATTGCTGAGTCTTTCAGGGTTGTCTGATTGGCACATCGACTCCATGTGTGATAGTACCTTAGCAAAAGTGGAATACACAAGAAGAGTTGGTGGCTACAATCATAAATATTTAGAACCAGCCACTTTACTTCTAGCATTATATACAGTTCAATATATTAGAGGAGCATCTCCTCGAGATTGAGTTTTGTAACAATTTTTTGCTAGCAATGATTATAGTAAACTTCTACATGTTGCAAGTTTCAGAAGGCACCTCTTTTGGATTAATTTCTACATGAGGCATTGATAGCTCTGTTTGATTGCCACTGCAGTCACCTCAACATCGTCCAACGGCAAGAGTTAGTATCATGTTTTAGAAGTTAATTATTCTGGCAATACTTGCATAAAACTAGTCTCCGGTACATCAAGCATGACCACACTACACCCAGGTGTCTTTTGAGACCCTTTATTTGACAAGGCAAACCTCATCCTTTCAGCCTTCTCCCATCTTTCAGAGGCAGCATATATATTAGAAAGAATCACATAATGTGCATCAACACTGGAATTGCAACTGCAGCTCAATTTTTTGACCTCGTTCAACACGTGTTCTACCACATCTGTGTCCGAGTGAACCCGGCATGCTCCAAGCAGAGCCCCTAAAACTGTGTCATTTGGTGTGACAGGCATCCCTTTCATCAAATCACAAGCCTCCTTTAATCTTCCGGCCCTTCCCAAAAGGTCAACAAGACAACCATAATGCTTGATACTTGCCTTCAACCCATATTTCTCCATCCCGGAGACAATCTCTAAACCTTCCTCCACGAATCCACCATGGGCACAAGCCGATAGCACTGAAAGAAATGTTATATCATTAGGTTTCACTCCTGAGCTCTTCATTCTCTCGAAGAAATTAATTGCCTCCACACAGTGGCCATGAGTGGCATAAGCAGATATTAGTGAGTTCCAAGCAGCAGCATTTTTAACTGACATTCCTTCAAAAATCAATCTGGCATTACTTAAATCCCCACATTTCGCATACATATCAACCAACCCATTAAGAACAAATTGATTCAATTCAATCCCTTTCCGGATTATCATTTCATGTATTTCCTTGCCAACATCCAGCAAAGCCAACTGTGCACAAGCCGATAAAACACTAACTACAGTAACCTCATCCGGTTCAAACCCCTCATCTTGCATTTTAGAAAATGCTTCTAAGGCTTCTTCACAGTATCCATTCTGTGTATAACCACATATCAATGAATTCCAATTCACCAAGTTCTTCATAGTTATCCTATCAAATATGGCCTTGGCACTCTTAACATCACCCTTCTTAAAATACCCAGAAACCATTGATGACCAGACATAGAAATTTCTTCTTGGCATTATCTCAAACAGTTCCCTTGCAGCATCCATATCTCCATTACTAGCATACCCATCAACCATAACACTCCATGTGACTACATTCCTAAACTCATCCGGCACCCGGTTAAAAAACCTCCTAGCCATCACCATATCTCCATTTCTAGCATACCCGTCAATCATTTCATTCCAAGTCACAATTGTCTTCTCATACATATTCTCAAACAACAAAATTGCAGTCTTTGTATCACCACCCTTCATATGTCCTCCTATCATAGCATTCCATGTTATCACATTTCTTTCAGGCATATAATCAAACACCTTCCGGGCACTCCAAATTTCACCACATTTCCCATACATATCCAACAATGCAGTCCCCACCATAACATTACAATCAAATCCTGATTTCACAGATTCAGCATGTAAAGCTTTGCCGAGGCTAAGCATTGAAAGTGCAGCACATGCCTTTAGCACCAAAGGAACAGCACCCACCATTAAACTTCCATTAACACGATTATGGCTGTATATTAAAAAGGCTTCTTTGAATTTTCCTTGATATACGCATTTCTTTATGTTATAAGCCCAATTTATTAATGGGTTTGTGATATTATTCAGTGAACACAATCGAGAACTTTGAATTTGGCAATTCTTATGGTTGTTTTTCATTTTACAGTGAAGATCATTCTGAGTTCCTTGTGGCCAAGGATAAAGTTTCTTGCTTTAATCGTTCTTGCAAATGTCAATTAGCTGACTCAAAAGTTTCTGACGGTTCTTTTCGATTTTAATCCTATTTTCTGATTATTATATTTCTGGTCCTATGTATTCCTATTCGGCGGATTTGAAGGCTAGAGTTGCACTTTTAAATTCAATCAAAATTTGTATTGTGTATAGGGTGTCGTTACTGAATAAGGATGCCAATGGTTCGGTTTGACAAGTTATTTTATAAAATTTGGACCATACTAATTTTTTGGCTATTTTATTATGTATAATAAAAAATTAGACTTTTAGAAATTATACTAATCATGTCAGTTTTTCTTCGATATCGGTACAGTTCTATTAAAGGGTGTGAATTAAGAGAACATGAAAGATAGACAGAGTATAGATCTATCAACTATTCTACAACAACACAAAAGAAACTAAACAAAGACAAAGGAAATATAAATTACTCGAGTGGAAAGATATTAAGCAAGTTGGGACTCAAGAATAAAGTGGAATATTAAATATTTGAAAATATAAATTTAAATCATACGAAAGGAAACATATTCAATACATTGTAGTTTGCTACTCATAATCGCTAGAATTCATTGTGTGTTGCTAGTGAATATGCTTGAAATAATTTAGTTTCAATAAAAGTAGTATAATAGGTTTGGAGATTAGGATTTTGAGCTTAATTACTTGTTGACTTGTAATCATTTTATAATTTCAAGGCCCAAGGAAAAATTTAATGCTTTATTATTTTTAAACTTTATAAATATATTTTTTTTATGTAAATTTATTTGGTACGGTTCGGTAATTTTTTTCGATTTATTTTCATAAAATAAAAAACCTATCCTAATTATCGGCACGGTTATAGAGTTATATAAAAACCTACGATTTTATTAAAAGAACCTAAAAATTGGTTCGGTGTGATACGGTTCTGTTGGTTTTTAAATATTTATTGACACCCCTATTACTAATTATCAATATTTTGATATGTACAAATATATACATGGAATTATATACATAGAATTATTGTTGAACTTTCCGGGTGTGGTAAAAATTTACCCGCATCAAATATTTACACCAAGTCTAATTAAATTAACCATAGGAGATAAACTAAGGTCTTCTAGGATTTTTATTTTGAATAAATAAGAAACAAAAAAAGGCTAGTATAATCATAATAACTACTGTTACAAAATCTTAGGGCTACTGTCATCCTCTTTATTTTATTTCCTCGCAATCATCTTCTGCATTTTTGCTGCATCTTGTGACTTGAATCTTCACTACTAAAAGATAGCAATCAGTCTTTCGACTGATTCAGTCGGAATTTTCAAAAATAATATTTGTTATATTTTTTTTTATTTTTTTCGACTATTTTTCCGACAACATTGGTCGCAACGTCTCGCGCAAAAATTGGGAATAAATTATTGTGATGGATTCAGTCGGAAACTAAAAGTCAAACAATTTTATTTGACCATTGGCGACCGTTTCGGTCACAAATATTTAAACTTTGGTCAAATTATTTTTTTTAAATTGCAACTGAAACGGTCACTAGTTTTGCGACGGAATCAGTCGCAGATTATTTTTAAAAACCTAGACATTTCTTGAAAGCTGCCAGTATTATTTTAGCTTTCCCTCCAGTTTTTTTCACTAAAATCACCTATTCCCTCTATTTCTAATCAATAACTAAGTTCAAAAAATTTGAAAAATATTTCAAAAATATAAATGAAGTTTATCATCACCGCTGCCCTCTTCTCGTTATAGTTGGCCACCATCCCAAAGTTACTTTTTGCTACCATCGTGCCTTCTCTGTCACACCGTTGATCGTCACCATCCATCCCTAGGTAAAGATTTTCATCGTTGCTGCTCAGCCGCCATTTCGCCATTGCTGCTACCATCTCATGGTAAGACAACTTATCTTTATTTTGGCTTTGTTGAGATGATTAGGATTGTCTAGTACGTATGAAGAATATGATGATTGTTCTCCCACATACCCAATATCTTATTTTTGAAATTAACCCTAATATTTTAACTGTAAATTATCGAGGGTAATTGGATTACTCCTTATTACTTGCAGTGGGTTATTAATTGAAGATTAGGGAACTAGGAATATGAATTTGGAGAGAGGGGCGAGAGAATTTAAAGAAAAAGAGTTTGTGTCAAAGGTGGGATCTTTATACTGAATCCTTTGTACAAGAAGTATATTATGAAACATACAGGATTATCTTATAAACATGGCATGCCTATTTTTTCCATTTAAGAGAACTGGGTCTCACCTTTCTTTAGAGGTATGATTGATATTATACTTTTACTGGGTGTATTATGATTGGAATGAAAGTTGAGAAAAAGGAATTAGGTGTAAGTTGATATTAATTCTCCTAAGTAGATACATATTTAGATTAATTCTGCTTTAACTTGGAATAAGAATCGAAAAATGAGGGAAAACTGCACGATGAAGATATGAGCAGATTCTTTCAAAGTGTAGCAAACTTAGCGGACCAATATTATATCCTCCAAATATTTGAAAATAATTAAGCTCTCCGTTCAAGTAAAAGTTCGATAGGTGTATATGAAGTATTGATACTATTACAACATAATAGATAGCGAAAAACAAGAAAAGAAATATCAGAAATAGAGTTGCTTAGAACAACATCATATTAAAAGCACACAGAGATTGAAGAAAATGGAATAGAGTACAACACAACTCACATCTATTAATTATCTGCTTCTTTCTCTACTTAAATCACTTAGTTTTTTTATTTTATTTTAAATTGGAATAAATCTTAATACATACTTTTAGTTTGTTTTCCAGATTTCTTGTAACTAGGCCTAATGATACAAATATTAGTCTACTCATAGCAAAATACGCTAAAGTAAGTTGCAGCGCAACACCCATAATTAATTTATGAAGGTATTCCATCCACATACGACAAGATGAAGAGAATGATTATTTCTAATGCACTTAATATTAGTCTACACATAGTATTATTTTTTTTATACGAATATACTACCCTCCTCTTGTCTAGGATACTGAGGCTCGAGATAGGACATACATACTGCTTTGGGCAAGTTTTCATCAAACTTTGGATGGAACCTTTATGATAGAATTAGGGTAAGTTTCTTATATCTTATTTATGACATACCCTACATTTATTTTCTCTAGTTAGTTGTGGTATTACTTCACATTTGGAATCAATGGAACAACATATAGCAGTTGATTGCTATTTCTTATTAAATAACGTCTTTGACTTCATTTTCATGTATTGTTTATCAATATAAAAAATTAATTTTCTTCTCCAAGTATCACATGTAGTTCCTTTTCTTTGTGATTAGCCCTTATTATGTAACAATGAGCTCTAGCTCCTTTTTTTGCAATTTTTATGAGATGTGTGTGTGCGTGTTTTTTTTCCTCTATTTTGTTTCTGATTTTTCTTTTAAGTGCGCGTTCTGCTGTTTGCTTGACTTCTGGGTTTCAACTATAGATTTTTCCTTGTTTTTCTGTAGGTAGGAACAACATTCAAACTGTTTTTAAAGGTTGTCCGTATCAAGTCAATTATCAGAAGAATTTGTCCATAGCTTCTGTAAGAATTTTTCAATCACTTCTTTGAAAAAATCAAATTCCTTTTAGTTTCATATATATGTTGCCGCTTCATGTGAATTTCGATTGTATTCGGCAAGGATAGATGCTTTTGGTGATATTTTTCATGTGTTGATTGAAAAAGCTTTCAGGTATTTAAAAGAAATGGCTTCTTACAATAAATAATTGAAGTCAGTTTATCCTTTTAGACTTTAGATTGGCCTAGCTGATTTCTGGTTCTTTTATAAATTAAGGGAAATATTACTCATCATCCTGCTTGGTTGAGAGTTGAACTTTTATGTGGGTAACATATGGTGGTCTGATTTCTAAATATACGTTGGATTAGTAGGAAAATGGAGAAAAAGAGGGCTGGCACTTTACATTTATATTAGGACAAGTTCAGGTGTTCTCTTCCTTATTTACTTGACATCAATATTTTTTACTCTTTGGCCTCTGTTTTTTTCATGTATATCCTGATCGTTTACTGAATCCCCTTGGCCACTTTAATTTGTCCCAAATTGATTCTCGCGGTAAAAAAATAAGAAAATCTAAGAAGAAGAAACACACTTTACCTAGATCAAGTCAGCTTCCTCCACCTATACCAAAAATGAGCCCTCTTCCTATGCCTCCTCGTCCTTCCATGTCAGCTTCACAGTCATCTGACTTTTTCAAAGCCCCTCCCCCATCTAACTCACTTCAGTATTACTCCATGCCTTCTCATGGTGGCTCAGCTTCGACCACCATTAATTTAATACCCACGCCTCATTTCCCAGCTTCTTCCCCGCGTGGTCTTGCTAGTCAGATTGACATCTCACCACCGATTGCATCCTCGAGCCATCATAGTAGCCAGCATGGCGGTTCATCTTTTGTGCCTCATACATCGCCCACTCAATTATCATCTCCAGCATCATCCACTCCAAGTATATCTAACTTGGATATTGGAGGCTCTCACGCAGCTGCATCCCCATCTACCAGTACGTCTACAGTTGCTGGTACCGTGAGATATTGTATTGGAGGGACTGTACAGTACAATCATCTTCATCAGCTGATTATCATTCCCCGTGACGTCGGGTGAGTTTTTATTCAATTTCCTTTTAAAAACTTTCAATTTTTTTTTTGCATATAATGAATTTAATGACATTTTATATGTTAAAATTAAATGCAGGTTTTTGCCATCCTTTCAGGCCGCGCATATGGTGATGGAATCTATGAAGCCATTTTTTGACGAGCCATGGAATTCTTGGAGACAGATACTGTACCAGATCAGAATGAATATGTGGCAAAAATTTAAGGTAAGATAAATTAAATTTTATTAATACTTATCTTCATTTGTCTAATATTATTTATTCAATTTTGCAGGTTAAGTGCGTATGGCAGCCAACACTTGAAAATCTGGTGCATGATAACTTCGAGAAGAAAGCACAGAAGCTGATAACAAATTCACATCATGTTGCTAGGAAAGGTGGCAAAAAGCCTAATTGGATACGTGAAGATGTCTGGAATCAGCTCTTGGCGAAGTGGAACACCCCTTAGTAGAAGAAGAAGAAGAGTGAACAAGCAAAGTTAAACAGAGCTTCTACTAAGGGTGGAGCATTGCATACTGGAGGTTCTATTAGTTTTGATGCCCATCGTTGGAGAATGGTAATTTCATTATAAAATATTTTTAGTTTTACAAATATGCAAATTGAACATATATATATCCTAATTAATTCTTAATTTTCAGGGAAAGGAACGTGGGGGAAATGTGACTTATGCTGAGGTCTTTGCAAAGACACACAAGAAGAAGAAGAAGAAGAAGAAGGATAGCACAAGAGAAGGATGGATCGAACCACGTGCTTTAGAGATATTTATATAATCCAAACACCAACACTATATTATTTTTCCTTCTTGGTTTATTTTATTTATATAACGTGTATTATTTTTATTTCAGGACAAGTATCATATTGATCTTGATACATGGCAACAAACTCAACCTGAAGGAGCTTAGCCGACCCCGGAGGATATGACTGCAATTTGGACACAAGCGGCTGGTGGTGTGAATAAAGGTATAAATATTATATAATAATCTATTTTGGTATTAATTTGAAAGTTGCTTGTTTGTTTTCTTACTTCTTTTACTTTCTTTTCTTTATTTCTCGTGAAAATAATAAAATAAAGGTCGAACCTACGGGATTGGAGTACAACCATCCTCCTGTCGTCCACCAACATCATTATTCACTGGGGCATTAGTTTCCCAAGAAGACATGAAATCTATGCGTCAAAAAGTGGATCAAATGTCGCAAGAACTTCAAGAAACTCAGGCTTTGATTTAAAAATTGTTAAAAAAGAAAAGCAAGAAAAGAGCTGCAATGGAGTCTGAATCTGAGTCTGAGGAGGAGATTGAATCTGAATAGGCTATTTGAATGTTTTAGAGTTGAAGTTAGAGACATGTTTAATTTATGTTGTTTGATAGTTCGGTGTTTCATTAGTTGATTGAATTGTTATAAATATTATTGTTCGCTTGTGATAAATATTGAATTTTGGATTGTTATATTAGGTTTTTGGTTAATTGTTAGGTATTTGGTTGGCTGTTTTATTTGGCAGGTGGGTAATTAAAAATACAGTAGGATTCTGCCTAAAAATGCCACGATTTGCTACTGAATTCAACACAAATGTCACCAGGAATTATACATATAATATTGATTATAATGATTGTCAATTGCTCCATGAACTTTCCTCGGGAATAAATTCTGGATTTAAGGTAAGTATTTTACCTTATTTTTCTTTTTTAAATTCTTAAAATTGTATAATTTGATTTTAATATAAGTAAGGATAATAAGTTTTGTTTATAACTCTAATAGAGTTTGTAAAATTTTTATGTCTTGCCTTGGTCAAATTTATGTATGATTATAAGCACAAGAAGTGGAGTGGAAACCGTCCCATTGAATTTGTTTCATTCTAGTTCCCTTAAGAGAATGTGGTAGCAATATATAATAAGTTTGAAAGAAGATAAAATTATTACCGTGAAGGTAACAATGGATATGGACGTGACAATAGACGAAATTATAATCGTCATTATTGTGGTAATGTGAATAATAAGGATTCTCAAAATAATCTATCACTCTGTGAAAGTAATGTTTGTCATCGATTTGACATAAGATTTGGTAAAGCACATATAGATGATTATGGTCCATTCGTGATATGAATATGACAACATATGATTTATGAATACATATTCATTCTTAAAAAATATGAACGTACTAGTGATAGTGAATATACCACACTCACCTCTAGAAGGAGGTTTGAGATGAAATAAGAGAATAATTTCATTATTATGGCATGAATAGTCATTGATCACGTGCCTATTTTGATTATGCCAAAATATTATGGCAATTTGATTATTACAGGGCAAAAGTAATATAAGCAAAATATCTTGCCTATACTAATTTTTGACCATGCCCATAATGGTATAACTCCCCCTTGAAAGAGACATTCATCATATGTATGTGTAACGACCCGATCGATCGTTTTGAGAATTAACGTCCCGTTCGGGGGCATAAGTTTTCGAGCAGCTTCGTATTATGTACGTCTTGCTTGTATGGACGAGTTCAATTTTCGGATGATTCGGGATCAATTTGGAAGAATGATTCTTGTTTTAGAAGCTTAGGCGGTAAGAGTAGACCGGAGTTTTGAATTTTGTGTAAACTACTCCAAAACAAATTTTTTTATGGTTTTAATAGCTTCGTATGGTGATTTTGGACTTAGGCGTGTGTACGGATTTGGATTTGGAGGTCCGTAGAGTAATTTGAAGCATTTCAGCAAAAAAATCAAAAAGTTGAAATTTTGAAAAGTTGAGAGATTTGACCGAGAGTTGACTTTGGCAATATCGGGGTTGAAATACGATTTCGAGAGTTGGATTAATACCGTTATGTCATTTGGAACTTGCATGCAAAATTTGACGTTATTTAGGGTTAATTTGATATGTTTCTGCAGGAGTTTTGGAGGTTGGAAGATTTTAAAATTCATGAGTTCGATTTGTAGTGTGATTCATAGTTTCGACATTGTTTGATATGGTTTGAGGCCTTGAGCAGTTCCGCGTTATATTTTAGGACTTGTTGTTATGTTTGGTTGGGGTCCCGGAGGCCTCGGGTATGTTTCAGGTGAGTTTTGAACAAGTTTGGGCATTTCGACACTTTGATGGTGTTCTGGAGCAGTTGAAGTGCGGAGGGCACATTTTTGGAGTGCTAATGTGCAGCCGCAAACTCCCGAAGTGCGGAGGCAGCGGAAAATGTATGGACTGCAGAAATCCTCTTGCGGCCGCAGAAAAGGGAATCTGCAGATTCGATGGTCTGAATTCGGAAGCTTATATCTTTTAATCTACAAAAAATTTAAAGGTAATTCGAAAATAAAAGTTGTAGCCCTTTGAGTATAGTTTGTAGAAAATTAAATCATTAATCATTTGGACATTTGTATAGAAAGTTATAGTCAATTTACTAAAGCCTGGTAGCGCCGCTGCAGCTGAAGTGAGGCTGCACAATTTGGATTGCGGACGCGGAACCTGGAAAGTGCAGACCGCACAAACAATGTGCATTTAGGACTTTAGAGGTCAGATGTGGTACCATATAAACGAGATTTTTATCTCATCTTTTATTTTTGGACCTACAAAGCTCGGTTTGTGGCGATTGTTTATGAATTTTTCAAGAAAATCATTGGGGTAAGTGATTCTTACTCGATTTTGGCTATATTACACGAATCCATTGTTATTTTCATAATTTAATTAGTGATTTGAGTTGAAAATTTGAGGAAAAATTATAAAAACTTTTTAGACTAAATTTTGGAGATTTGAAAGGCGATTTGAGGTTGGACTTGAGTAATTCTTTTATGGTTGGACTCGTTATCGAATGGGTGTTCGAATTTTATAATTTTAGCCGGTTCCGAGGTGCGAGCCCGGGGGATTGACTTTTTAGTTTTAATTAAAGATTGAAGCTTTATTATCCAGAATTATTTTCTATGAGTTTTATTTATGAATTGAAGTTATTTTGGTTAGATTTGAGCTGTCCGGAGGTTGTTTTGCTCGAGAAGGTCGATTTAGAGTAACGGTCTAGCTTCTTTGAGATAAGTATTATGCCTAATAATGTGTGGAGGAACTACTCCATAGGATTTCAGTCTTTAGTGCTAATTGTATCATGTGAAGCTCGTGTACGCGAGGTGACGAGTACGTGCTCGGGCTTATTTGTGAAAATTTGACCGTTTAGAGCTCTTAGGTTCTTATGTTCATTAGATTTGAAGTTTTTTTTGTTATGTTAAATTCTCCATTTACTAAATTCACCCTTACGTGTCTTAATTGGAATTAATTTCTCCATGTCTTACCCTTATTGCCGATTAAACTCTTATGCGCCTTAACTAAAGTTGTTGCTTCTTTTAATGCTATGCTATCCTTTCCATAATTGCTTATCCTTAATTGAAATTATTATTATCTTTCCCATGATCTACTTATCCTTAATTGAGTTTGTTGAATCTATTCCGTAATTGCTCAACCCTAATTGAAGTTTTGTTATCCCTTATCATTATTGACTTACCCTTAATTGAAGTCATTGATTTATATTATCCCTTTTATCGTTGAATTGTACTTATGTGGAATCATTGCCACACAGTATCTGAGTTAATATTATGTTGTACCATTATTTCCTATTGTGTCTTTCCTTGTGAGCTCGTTCTTCCGTCTCTTTGTGTTCCGGAGTTCCTGAGTCGATTTACATGTTGTATTATTGTGTTATTATCGTTGTTGCTGTTGTATTCAGTGTTGTATGGCATGAGGTTTCTGTCGTGTGGTTATTATTGTGGCACGAGGTTTCTATCGTGCTGTTGTTATTGTGGCACGAGATTTCTGCCGTGTGGTTGTTATTGTGGCGCGAGGTTTCTACCGTGCGGTTGTTATTGTGGCACGAGGTTTCTGCCGTGCGGTTGTTATTATGGTACAAGGTTTCTGCCATGCGGTTGTTATTATGGCACGAGATGCCTGCCGTGTGGTTGTTATTATGGCACGAGGTTTCTGCCGTGCAGTTGTTATTATGGCACGAGGGTTCTGTCGTGCTGTTGTTATTGTGGCACAGGATTTCTGCCATGCGGTTGTTATTGTGGCACGAGGTTTCTACCATATGGTCGTTATTGTTGGACGAGGTTTCTACCGTGCGGTTGTTATTATTTGCACGAGGTTTTTGCCGTGCAATTTTGATTCATTTACAATTTGAGACTACGAGGCGGTACCTCGGAAGGGCTTTGTTGTTATTTCCCCTTTTCTTTGCACTTGTCTTTGATAGTTGTTTTCCTTTGCGTACTAATAATTAATTTCCTCCGTGTTGCTCTATTTGCTCAGTTCTATGTAGCTAATCTTGTTGTGTTTGTCATAACGTTCATTTCATTACTATCTTATTTACACTGTATATTTCATGGTGATCGTTTCTTATGTGTAATTCCTTATTTCTACTTTTAATTGTGGTAGAACACTAGCACAAGTATACAAGTAGATGAATCACCCATATCAGTTTATGCAGATGAGTCTTGGCATTATTAACCATTACATGTACTCTTGTTTGCTTGCCTTATGTGTGAGAGTTGTCCTCTTGGTACATGAGTCGTCCGTGCGGTTATGAATTGAAATGTAGGCACAGGGTGCCAGCTGATTAGGGTTCAAGAATTTTGGCCCTTATGCTGTGATTTTGAGGTTCGGTACCTCGTGGAAATGCTTGAACAAATCAGGTATAAAAGCGGTTGTTCTTATTGAGTTGTTGCTGGTTCTCCCTTTATTTTGATTTCATCGGACTTAGACTGTGTCTAGCTTAATCTACAACATTATTACCTGACTGCGTCCTGTTGAATATTGTTGTTATTGGTGTCTCGTCACAAGTATTGTTTTGTATTCCTTATCCTATTTAGATTTATTATTAACATTGTTTCACTAGTAGTTCAACTTCATACTTGTTCAAGGTATTTAGTCCGGTAGATGTCTTGACTGTCCCTAGTCACTACTTCACCGAGCTTAGTCTTGATACTTACTAGGTACCGCTATGGTGTACTCATACTACGCTTCTGTACATTTTTTGTGTAGATCCAGGTTCCACAGTCCTTGTTGATTATTAGCTAGCTGGTCGAGCTATGGAAACTCAATGTAAACCTGTTGTCGCGTTCGCAGGTCTCAGAGTCACCTTATGATATTTCCATTTTATTGTTTAATTATATTCCAAACAGTTGCATTTTAGGGATTTTCTAGTAAACTTAGTAGAGCTTATTACTTGTACTACTGGTTTTCGGATTGTAAGTTGTATATAAAGATGTCTATTTCATATTTATCAATTGTTGGTTAAATTCTTCTATTAATTCAGTAAGTGTTAGGCTTACCTAGTCTTAGAGACTAGGTGACGTCACGACATCCTACTGAGGGAAATTGGGGTCGTGGTAAGTTGGTATTAGAGCTCTAGGTTCATAGATGCTATGAGTCATAATCGAGTTTAGTAGAGTCTTGCGGATCGGTATGGAGATGTCTGTACTTAT